GGGTATCGGCAAAATTTGCGTAAACCGTCATGGGTAAACCAAAACAGATTCAGAAGTGGTAGAAAATTAAAGTAAATCTGATCAGCTGTTCTAGAAACATTGATATAGTTCGAGTATTTTTCAGGTCCATTTCGGGCCTAGTTCGGAAGCATTTCGGTCCAGTTCGGGCCTATTTAGGAGGGGAATTTTTTGAAGCTAGTTCGCAATCAGTTCAAAACAAGTCCAAAAGTTTTTCGCGTCTAGTTCGGGCCCATTTCGTGGATAGGTTATGAGCAATTCTGGACTTTTCCGGGATCATTTCGAGACTAATTCGGGACTAGGTCAGAACTTTTTCGGGTCTGACACAGATGTTTACACAGCAAATATTGAACTCAACCCTTTTTTTATAAATTTTAAGCTTCTTCCATATGGTTTTTGAAACCTCAAGGGTACGACAGAAATAACATTCATGATTTATGCAAAAAAAAATTTCAAATTTTTGTTTTTAAATGATCGCACTGTAGATTTAGATGTGCGATGTGTACATTAGGGTGGTCCAAAAGAAGTAAAATTTCAATTTGTAATTTAAATGTGTATGTAAATTTCAAAATGTATGTAAAAAAAGTAAGGTCGGATTTTTAATGCCAATGCCACCCCCTATGATTGTTATATACCGAAAAAAAATATACCCATATTTTTTTATTTTGAAATCAAAAAATATTTAGGGAGTGCCCAAAGCGCTCAAAGTTTTTCCGTGTATTTTATATGGAGAAAAAAACAATTTTTCGTAGTAATGGAATAAAACTCTTGAAAATCAACATTTTCCGACCGTAAAACTGTGGTTCTCTTCATGAGACTTTCCGATCGAAAAATATTGATTTTCAAGAATTCTACACTATTTCTACGAAAAGATGTTTTTTCCATCGCATGGAAAACTTTGAGCGCTTTGAGCACTCCCTAAATATTTTTTGATTTCAAAATAATAAATAGGGGTATATTTTTTTCGATATAGATCAATCCTAGGGTGTGCCGGCATTAAAACTCCGACCTTATTTTTTTGGACCACTCTAACCTACATGGAGAACTTTGAGCGACCTTTAAATATTTTTTGAATTCGAAATAAAAAAAGAGGTGCACATTTTTTCGGTATAGAACAATTGTGGGGGATGACGGCATTAAATTTCCTATTTGTTTTGGACCATCCTCATTAACATAAATATGTAGCTCCTACATTACTTTCAATTAACATATTTGCATACAAAATGAGACTATTTTTAATTTCTATTGTACTCTGGCACCTAAGCTTCAATATTTCACAATAAATTTCAACGTTAAGGATAGATAGATAAATTCTAATTATACCTCCAGTAACCGTAAAGAGCATACCTAAGAAAGCTTCTAATTACACATAAATAAAAGAAAGCGAAAGATTTTCCCCGCTTAGCAAGCAACGATAAGCTAATTCTTGCACATTTTTCCAAGTGAAGGAAGATTATCGCTAACGAAGAATCAACCGGCTATGGCTTGTCAACAATCAGCTCAATGGATTTGATTGCTCTAAAAATAAATAATATTACATGTGCTTGTGTATGTACAGGTACAGTCAGCATCAAAAATATGCATACCCTGATGCTTTGGCGATTTTTTTATTTATATTTTCCATACCAAATTTATCCTATTTTATATAAAAAAAATATTCTTAGTTCATTCAACAGCAAAAAAGACAAAAAAAACTTTTTTTTTTTATTCCATAAAAAACTCGAGAAAATAGAAGAAATTTTCATAAAAATTAACAAGTAATTTTTAAGCAAAAAAAACTTCAATTCTCACATAAAAAATTTAAGATTATGGTTATTTTCTTCACGGTCTGATGACCGCATTTAAACCAAATTAATGTGGGACCATCTTTCATTTAAAAAAAAGAATTATAGAAATCGGTTAACGTGGTTTATGTGGTTATACGGTAACATACATAAAAAAATAAATATTCCGACGAAGTGAAGTCGGTTAAAAATTTTTCAATTCGATTTCTTACAAACAATTTTAGTGTGCCTTTTTTGTAGCCTTTTATCGTCGAGTTTTGACATTTCTTTTTATTTATCGACTGTGTTGCGCATTTCCTTCCAAATAACGCATGAACAAAATCAATATTTATGGACTAAAAACTGCTCACTTAAAATTTTCCTAAGAGATTTTAAATTTCGTCTAAAGTTTCTTACTATTACTTACATTTTCCCAAGTTCTGTATGAAATTAAAAAATGTACTCTTGTGGTTTTTGCTGTTGGATGAACTCTAATTAAACAAAAAAAAAGAAACATTTGGTAAGGCAAATATGAATAAATAAAATCTTCAAAACCTCAGGGTATGCATATTTTTGACACTGACTGTGTATACATACTAGCACATGCAATGCTCATTTGTATTACAATGTAGGCATATAAGCGTATCTATTTAAATAAATAGTAAAGGTCCGGCGTATATACGACTTAGGTAACCGAAGAATATAAAATGAAGACGTATTTGTCTGTGGCTGTGCCGTCAGCAGGATTTCATTTCCATTATGTTTGGATCAACTAACAAAAAACAATTAAAAATGCTTAGTTTACTAAAAGATCAAACAATCTGATTTGTTTCTAACCGTTTCTATTCGATGATACGCAAATTAGCTAAGTCGAAAATAGTCACAGAAAATGTGATAAAGCACAAGGAACACAAAAACTTTTCTTCAACGTTGTGGAATTTGATTTGTTTCTTTTAGTTGTTTTCGCTTGGAATATGCGAAATTGTGTATAAAACTTTCTGCAAAATAAGTGCTTAAAGAAAATGAGTTTGAAAAATTTTTATATGTTCGTCTGTAAAATTTAAGAAACTGGACTTAGCAAATTTTTTTTCTAAATTAGCGGCTTTTCGTATAACAAGATCATATTTTGGACATAATACCTATTATATATTCGTAAAGGCTTTGAGTATAAACTAGTGTTGGGAACAGGGTTGCCACTGACCAAAAAAAATATTTACCATCGACTTGAAAAAAATCTACCAATTGCGGGAAATATCTACCAATAACTTTTTTATAATTATTTTAATAAAAACTATAGTTTTGTTATTTATTTTAATTAAAACTATAGTTTTTTTTAAATTTTTTTTAGTTAGTTCAATAATAATTAAAATTGTTTTTAAGAATTTTTTATTTAAGTAGTTATACGGTATTTGAGTTGTATTACTGGCATATTCTCAGTTTCCTTCAACCAAAAGCGGAAGTGATGAAACTAAAGGCAACAATGAAACTTCATTATTTGAAAAACTTCAACTCGAGTTATTATAGACAAATACAGTGACTCAAAAAAGTGATTTTTTTAATATTCGCAATATTTTTCGGGTAAAAATTTTTTGTTGCTTTAACTAAAACCATAAAAACCGAGGATTCAAACTATATACAACATATAGAAAAATTCCAAAAGTTTTCGTTTAAATTTCGAATTTTTTACTCTGAATTTTAAGAACAATTTGAGGTATGGAGTTTTAAAGCAAATACTATTTGAGTATAGCCAAAAATGTGCTGCTTAAAATTCCCATTGATTTTTTTTTATTTTTTTCCATTGATAAAAAATGGCGTTGATTTAATTTTTTTTTTTTTGAACAATCATAGTGCGTAATTACATACATGTCAATTTTTTCTTTATATTTAAATAATCATTTAAAATATTTAGGCAATCAAAAGCTCCTCGGGATTCCAGTAAAATTAGTTTTGAATGGAGCGCGATATGTTCGCCTTATATCGATATACATTTATACGCATGTAATTATATAAAAAGTATGCAAAGAAATTTATAATATATTTAAAAGATAACTACGAAAAATAAATCGGGAACGGAAAGTTCATCAAAAATCTACCAAAATGAGAAAAAATTTACCTTTTTACCAACCCAAATTTTTTCTACCAATTTTGGTAACAATTTACCAAAGTGACAACCCTAGTTGGGAAGTATCGAGTACTTTACAGGATCGAGTTCTTTTAAGAGTCCTGAGTACTTCCTTTAAATATGCTCATGTTGGTAAGATTTCAATGTTTAGTGTAGAAATCTCACAAGCTGGCAGCGCTCCGAAATTACGTCAAATGAATGGCTACTTTACTTGGTACAACTTCAACTTCAAATTGAGTACAATAATTTCTGAATCGATTCTGACTACATGTATCAAAGTGATAATTGGAACAAAGTATTTTTGATTTCCAGTTCTTTTAATTTCTGAGTGTTTGTTTTGTGAGTACCGAGTATCGATACTTTAAAAAACCGGGCGCTGTCGATTCTTTTCAGAGTCGAGTTCTGAGTACTTTTGTTATCGATACTGCCCAACACCTCATTTCTGAGATTTTTGAAATATTTTATTAGCTCCCTAAAATTATTAACATTCGCGATTTGTGTAATCAAATTTTCTGCATTTGTGTTTTGGCGATATTTTCGAAATGTATTAGGTGTGTTTTTTGCCCAAGCTATTCGAAGTCACTTCCGATTACACATTTGCGTTTCGCCAGTAAATTTACTAGTGAAGAAAGAGCAAAACACTCCTGTCAAAATGGCAGGAACTAATGAAAAAAAACTTTACTCGAAAAATGTTCCATGAATTTTCGCGTAAGGAGTGTCATTACTCAGTTTCATTATTTACGCTCGCAGTTTGAACTTAGCTCGAGTTTTTCTTCGAGTAGCGTAGAACAGTGGAACAAACCTATTATTATTCCGCTTTACCTAAAATGTTTTATGAAGGGTATAGAAAGAAACGAAGAAAAGAAAATAAAAGCATGTCAAAGAAAGCTACAAGAATGTCTAACCCGCTTATGAACAACAAGTACACTATCGCTTCGTCACTCCAACAAAACGCACCAAAACTATCCCGAAAATGGAGTGAGTACTATTTCAGCGTTCTAACTCAATTCTTTGCTCAAGCTCAAGAGCGCGACCCACTATTACAGTCACCAAGTCAAGCTGACCGGCGGCTACTTATGCTAATGAAAACGCTATTCACGCTCAGTTCGAAGCTGAGATTTGTTGAGTACGGTTCGAAGCAGTGTAAGCGTTCTACGGCGGAAATTGAAGAGCGCAACGAGTGCACAATAATAAATAATTTTATCAGCGGCTTAAATGAACTTTCATTCTACCTTTTTTTTGTTTGTTTTGATTTAGTTTCTTGGATTTTGTGATTTCCAGTTGTGACAACTGCTAATCTTTTTTATTGGCATTCTAAGCTTGGCCTATCGCGTTATTTGTGCCCGCGTGTGTGTGTCGGTTAAAAACATAGATATTCTTCGCCTGCCTCGTAGCGTTCTTAAAGGCTTAAAATGCATTGCACTGCAAGTGGCAGGCCATTATACGATGGTGCCCTTAGGCTTTTTATAGTTTTGTTGATATGCGCGGTGAATTACAAGCTGATTGAGTCGCACCCACTGAATGACGGGCAAGCAACAAAAACGTCTGAAAAGAAGTGCGGCTATGAGGTGAGTGATAAGATGGTGTCAAATGTAATTCTAGATACTCATTTTTTACATTAGATACCAATGCGCAAATTTACCCTTTGTTTTATTTTGTGTTTGCTTAATTAAAAAAATTTGTTAAACTTACATACAGTGAATCAAACAAAAAAAAAAAAAACACTGGAACGTTCACAAATTTTTTCTTTGAAAGCCAATATCTCCAAAACAGAATTGGCTGGCGGAATAAGATAAAATGCAAATGAACGATAAAACTCTTTAGTTTTTCACTACATTAAGTGTCTTTTTTTAACTGTTTATTTGTACCCCTAACTAAAATAAACAAAGTAACTTAATTTTTTAGAACCAAAAAAAAAACTGGGACATATTTTAAAATTCTCGTCGTATCATCCATTTTGCACAATACTTCAATACTTTGTGTGATGACCTTTTGCTTTTCATACAGCCTCTAATCGTCTATTCATGGACGCAACTAAATTCGTAGTCACTTCTACTGGAATATAGTTCCAAATTTCTTTAGTCGACTCCTTTAGCTGATTTTTCTCATGGACCGTCCTTTTTCGTAGTTCTTTCTCCACATATGCCCACAAATGCTCTATGGGGTGGTATATGGGTGTGTTAGAACAGATTTTGTGTTGTAAAGCAACCATTCTTTGACAACCAAGGCGGTATGTTTCGGGTCGTTATTAGAAACAAACAAACTGCGACTCATCCTTAAAAATAACGCCTTTCCAAAACTCTGGTGACGTATTTATGTAACATTTAGCGTATTCCAGGCGTTTTTTTTTTACATTCTACTTGGATAAAAGCAGCTTCTTTCGGCGTGTATACGCTCAGTCCTCGTTCGTATTAAGAAAATTTCTAATTGCTTGAGGATGAGCGTCAATAATTTTTCTTTCCTTCAGCTCGTTTGCAATTTCCACCGCCGTTATCTAAGGATTTTCTTGGACGTATCGCCTTTTTAACCGACTTCCAAAAAAGGAGGAGGTTATCAGTTCGTCGGAATATTTTTTTTTTTTTTTTGTATGTATATGACCTCATAACTTTGGACCACGTCAACCGATTTCGATAATTCTTTTTGCAACGGAAAGGTAGTGTCTCAGAGGTGGTCCCATACTTTGGTTTAGATCCGATCATTGGATCATGAAATATATACTATATGTATATATATATTTTTTTTATGTCGTTCTTTTTGCTAAAAATTACTTGTTGCTTGCTCAGACAATATCTTCTCTGGCCGTCCGCTACTATTTGGACCATTTTCTTTTTTGAATGCCTTAATCACATATATTCAACACTGTGGACCGAGGTTTCTTAACCGTTTTATCAATTTGGCGAATAGCCATGTCCTCATTCCACTATGCGATCGTTCAATTCATTATTCTCTTATTCGCTTATTCTCCATTTTCGGGCTTTAAATAGCATCCCTACAAACCAAAGTTTCCGAAATTTTAACGAAATCTTTAGGAGTATCTCATTTCTTTAACGATCTTTTTACGTTTCTTCAAAGAAAATTATATGAAGTGGTTGACACGAACCCGTAAAGAAATTTCTGCACGAAAAATTAAGAAAATTCCGAAAACCGTCTGCAAGAAATTCTTCACATAGCAGCATTATTTTCATTTCTTTGCCGATTTTCTTCCGAAATTTCGTAAAAGAATTCAAGTGTGCACAGTTTATTTCATTTTAGAAAGTTTAAGTGTTTAAAATTTCTCTACAACTCAGAATACTCTGAAAAAATGGTTTGCAGGGATGATAATCACAAACACACATACACGCAACAATTTCAAATTCAGTTAATGTTGCAAAGAACTCTGCCGCCTGCGATTCAATCAAAACTTTAATGTTGCAAACGTCCCAGCTTTTTTTTGATTCTCAAAAATGGAGTTACTTTGTTTATTTTAGCTTTTGGTATAACAAAATACAGTTAAAAAAAAAGAAACTAAATGCGATGAAAAACAGAAGAGTTGTGTATTTTATTTCATTTCGCCAGCCACTTTAGGTTTGGAGATATTGGCTTGCAAAAAAAAACATTAGTGAACGTCCCAGTTTTTTTTTGGTTCACTGTATTTGTTTATTTATTCTCTAGAAAGCAATTTGCTGCAGCGCGGGTTTTTATAAAATTTTTAAATTGATATGTTCAGCAAATAAACAAAGCAAATGGATGAACAAATAATTCACTTTTATGTCTATAAGGCAAGCACAGTAGTTGAAACATAAACGTATTACGTGAATACCGGATTCAAAGTCCGGCATAAATACGAAACTTTAAGTAATGAATAAATTTATTCTCATAAAAGTCTCCACTCCATATACGAAGCCAAACCTCTGGGTGTAATTTGTCGAAGAAAGCCTAAACCTATACACATACACATAGTTAACTTGCAGGGTCGTCGAGAGCCAGATCGGGGTTCAGAGCAGATTACATCGGACGTATCGCCCTTTGAATAGAAATTAATTTTTTAGTAAATCGTCGTACATTCGTTTAAAACCTCCAGTAAAAAATATTAATTAGCAAAATTGCGGAGAAATGTCATCTCTTCTTCCAGAAGAGACAAATATCCAGAATAGTACGCGGACTGAAAGTTTCTAGAAACTTGCAAGTTAGACGAACTACGATTACGGGTACTGTATAATACATAATACAAGTAATTTTTAAGCAAAAAACAAAACCGACTTAAATTCTCATATAAATATATATATATATATATATATATATATATATGTATATCATGATCTAATGATCGGATGTAAACCAGATTAGTATGGGACCACCTCATCGAAATCGGTTGACGTGGTCCAAAGTTATGCGGTACATATGTACATAAAAAAAAAATATTCCGACGAACTGATAACCTCCTCCTTTTCTGGAAGTCGGTTAATAAGATTTCACACAATCCAAATCATAGTCACCATAAAAAATTTTGTTCTTCTTTCAATTCATAAGAAGGAGAATAGGTGTTTTTTTTTGAAGGAATTTATTTGCATTTTTCGAAATTTTATCGGTTGGTTTTTTTCAATTTTATTTATTGCCCGGGACAGTTGAACCTCACCACCTTCTAGGCGGGACATTGGAACCATTTTTTCAAAAAGGCCTTGTATCATCTATGGTGTTTCGAGGCAAGCAAAGTAGCCTACTTCTCAGACTTCTTACAGGCATTTTGACTGGGATTCTGACTACCCTCCTAAGGTGCCTGGACATAGACCCAACTGAGATAACCCCAGATCCTTGGGCAGTGACATAAACCCAATTTTTTTCCTTGGTGTTGGTTATGTAACTATATAAGAAGTGACATATTTCCAAACGAAGAGGCGACAAAATGTAATTTTGCAAACCAAACGAATTTGGAATGTGCAAGAGTAATGATAAAAGGCATTTTTATCACAGTCATAGAAGCTAGCTTAGCCTACATTATTTTCTTGTCGTCGCCTATAGGCAATCTTATATTACAACATATCGTCGGTGATACAGCAAAACGTTCTATGTCACTTATTACCTTTGGTGCTTAATTGATCTGTTATCTGTATCTGATTGCTTCTGACAATCGTTCATCTTCAACAGCCTAAGGTAGACAGGTTTGTCATTCGTTTATTAGGGTGTGCGAATTTGCAGATGCATTCCGGTGCATGTAAGAGACCATCTAAATGTCAAGGGTAATAATAGACATAGAACGTTTTGCAGTATCACCGACGATATTTATAACTGACAATCGTAACTTACATACTAGACGCCACGTTTGCTGAGGTGGATACAAGCAATTATTTATTGTAAAGGAATTCTTTCTGCGTAGGAGGCCTTCGGCGATTTTTTATTCCATATTTAAAAAAGAGGGCCCCAGGCGAAAATTTGGAATAACAAATAACGCGGTTTTCGCTCCAGTATACATACATATGTATAAAAATATTTTTTTATATTAAAAAAGGGCGAAATCTCTTATCACAATTTTCCGATTTTTAAGCTAAGTTTCCAACTCAAGAAAAATTTCAAAAAGTATGTTTCTTTAATTCTTTCGATTGCAAAAATACTTAGCCATTGCTTTGAATTTTCTTGAATAAATATTTTCATATAAATATATTTCTATAGAGCTGTAAACGGAGCAAAAAATTTGAATAGAAAATTTCTTTTTCATTTCTTGAGCATGTTTTTATATTCATTTTTTTTTTGTTTTTCTTGAGAGCTGGAAAATATGCTTTAGGTTCAAAAGTGACATTATCCCAATTGGGGTTATGACGCCTTATAAGAAGTGACATAACCCCAAGAAAAAAATTGGTTTTCTGTTACTGTATAAGGGGTCAGTATAAGCAGCCGCCGGGTGAATCAACTTAGAGGTTCGCTTTCGAGTCTTGTTCTCCGCCCGAATACCTAATTAACTTTTTGATTCTATTGAAGTCTAATAGCTCTTTATCCACTATCCAATTAAAATATAATTTGCATCCATAAAGGGTCCAATTTTGAACCAAAATTTCCCGAGAATCGATGCGTGTGCTTTCCGAGGCGTACATTCTGCTAAACGAGATTCTCCAAAACTATAAAGGAGAGTCATCTCAACAGCAACTACACCAATAACCTAAGGTCAATGCGTTAATGGAGCACATACATACTTTGAAGCTTTCCAAGGACTAAACAGATAGTTAGGAAGTGTCGTTGACACTCGCCTACACTGGCGCAGTTGTTTTACTTCTAAACGATAGGTCGAACAACCAGCAACTTTTACTATTGAGATCGCAGATAATTTGACCCTAACCAGAGTTCTATACATAGAGGAGTTCCGCGAAGATTTGTTTCCGTTTCGTTCTCTGTCAGAAAGTTGTTGAGACTTTAGTTCTCAAATTGTTCTTCGAAACAAAGTTCCTTAGACCTTTGTTCCCGTTAAGCTGTTCCAAAAAGTTCCGGAGGCTTTTGTTGCCGAAAGTATTGTTCGTATTTTGTGCGCTTTGGGAACGTTTCACGAGGTTCTAGTCAGTTTTGTTCTCATTTCGGTTTCGGTTTGAAGCAAAAGGTTTGGAACAAAACTAAGAGAACGACATTTGTTTTGATCAAAACTTTTGTTCTCGGTCCCCGTAAAATGCTTCTTTCTTTCCTACAACAAAATTTTGCCGTCTCCTTGCTCTCTCTCCTTAGTATTTGCGTGTAGAGTACACTGAGACGACAAGTTGAGCTTTTGTGAGAAAAGCAAATGGCATTAGATACTCTCCTCCAAACTTCATAATTTTAATTCATATTTATTTATATGTAAATTTTATTGTTCAGAGTTGCCACAAAACTAAACCCAACATGCTCAATGTCCATCTAATTCCGCACACACACGATGATGTTGGTTGGCTCAAAACTGTGGATCAATACTATTATGGCAGCAAAACACTCATACAAAAAGCCGGTGTCCAATACATCTTAGACTCGGTGGTGCAAGAGTTGCTAAAGGATCCCGAGAAGCGCTTCATTTATGTCGAATCGGCATTCTTTTTCAAATGGTGGCGCGAACAGGATGCCGAATTGCAAGAGCAAGTGAAAAAGTTGGTAAACGAAGGACGACTGGAGTTCATTGGTGGCGCTTGGAGTATGAATGATGAGGCGACAGCGCATTATCAGAGCATTGTCGATCAGTTTACATGGGGTTTAAGGTAATTAGGATTTAGATATGTTACAAATTTAGAATTTTTTGGATTTTTAGACGCCTGAATGATACCTTTGGCGAATGTGGGCGCCCGCGAATTGGCTGGCAGATCGATCCCTTCGGTCATTCACGCGAAATGGCTTCCATGTTTGCGCAAATGGGCTTCGATGGACTCTTTTTCGGACGCTTAGACTATCAGGATAAGATGGAGCGTTTAACAACTAAAACAGCGGAAATGATTTGGCGTGCCTCGGCGAATTTAGGTGGGTAAAAGTTTGCACATATACAAATTTTAGACATTAAAATTTTGCTTTTTTGTAAGATGAATCCTCCCATCTTTTCACTGGCGCTCTCTACAATCAATACCAGCCACCGCCTGGTTTTTGTTTCGATATACTCTGCGCTGATGAGCCAATAATCGATGCCAAGCATAGTCCCGATAATAATGTTAATCGTAGAGTGAGTATGACGAATCTGTATCCACTCATGAACACTTCATATACCAAAAGAGTTTTTGGTTAATTTAAAACTAAATATTCATTCTTAGACATTCTTGCTGTTTTAACTTCTAACCTTTTGCTTTAGGTGAATGATTTTTTGAAATTTATTAATCAACAAGCGCAATATTATCGCACTAACAATATTATCATTACGATGGGTGGCGATTTTACATATCAGGATGCTAATGTTTATTTCAAAAATTTGGATAAATTGATAAGGTATAGACTAAATTTAGAGAATAACGGTTGCTGAAATAAATACTAAAGAATTTTAAGAATTTAAGCATTGAAAAACCGTCGTTGCTTGAAACTTTTACTCAACTGTCTATTGCACGAAAAATATTTACGAATCTCGAGCCTCCTCAAAATTTGTTTGCCGGCTTTCCAAATTCCAGTTTTCGTATGCGAAGGCATCCATAAAAAATCGATTATTTATCGATAAACCTTTCAATAGAAAAATCGATATCGATAACCATTTTGACAATTGAATCGGAAAACATATCGATGACATCACCAAAAAAATAATCGTAGTATTATCGATAACCATATCGATAAAAAATCGGTACTAATATCGATAAATGAATTATTGACCATACCGAATAAATGAAATAGTAGCGATCATAATATAGAAAATATCGATCGATAACTTTACCGATATCGCTCATTTTTATCGATAATGATATTTTACAAGTAAAAGATTCAGATTGATGGTTTTGGAAAGGGAGCGTGTTAAATGGGTTCTTTTCGCAGAATTTTTTCTTTTTTTAAACTTTGATTTTCTAATTTTCCATCTGCATGAGTCCTCATTTTATTATAACTAAGCTCATGAACCCGTTTACTCATAGACTGTGTAGTATTTTTGCGCTTCAGTATAAGTCTTACATAATATTGAATATTTTAGGTCGATGAATTCATCGAAATTTCTCGAAACATGTCCAAAGGATATCGCACTAATCATATACAAGTTACGATGGGTGAAGATTTTCACTATCAAAATGCGATTAGCTGGTTCAAAAACTTGGATAAGTTAATCAAGTGAGTAAAATAAATTCGACGCCAAGATTTCAGCAACCCTTATCCACCATCAGCCATATTTTAAATTCCCTTTATAATAGAAAGCAAATCGCTCACCCGTCTTAATAAACCCACAGGTACACTAACGCACGCCAGGAAAACGGTTCCACTGTAAACCTTCTCTACTCCACACCCTCCTGCTATCTAAAGTCTCTACACGATGCAGGCATCAGTTGGCCCACCAAGGATGATGACTTCTTTCCATACGCTTCCGATCCACATGCCTACTGGACTGGTTACTTCACTTCACGTCCCACACTAAAGCGTTACGAACGCATTGGCAATCATTTTCTGCAGATTTGCAAACAACTCACCGTAATGGCGCCAAAAGTCGCCGGCGAATTCAATCCACATCTCTCGTTCTTCCGTGAAGCCATGGGTGTGATGCAGCACCACGACGCCGTCACCGGCACCGAAAAGCAGGCTGTAGCCGCCGATTATGCACGTCATTTGGAAGTTGCCATACGCGCATGCTCCATGAATACCAGAGCGATACTCAATCAGCTGACCGTAGACACCGCAGCAACGCACGCGGCGGAAAGTGCTACTGAATCTGCCCGCGAAAGTGCACGCAAACCCAGATGGGCGACCAGCGATACTAAGAAGCAATACAAGTTACAATTCGAAACTTGTACGCTGCTTAACATCAGTTCATGCGCGGTGCCAGAGCTGGCCGACAAATTTATTTTGACGATATACAATCCGTTGGCGCAGACGGTCTCCGACTACGTGCGCGTACCGGTGCCCGATGTGAATTATCGTGTTAAGGATTTCGATGGTGCGTTTAACAGAGAAGTTTTGAGCGCTTTGATGAACAAATTTTATATTTTCTGATCTTCCGTAGATGTGACGATAGAGACGCAATTCCTGCCAGTGCCTACGCCTGTGCAAGATCTTCGTTTCCGCAAGGCGAGCGCGCCGTATGAGCTCATCTTTCCTGCACGTGAGCTACCGCCACTTGGCTATAAATCGTACTATATAACGAAGACAGATGAAAACCACATGATACCCGTGCCAGATCCGGAAAATGTGTCGAGTTTCACAAGCATCGGAAATGAGGTACTACTAAGCTTTTGTAACTTCGAGTTCACATTTCCTTTAATCTCACCATTTGTTTCTATTACAGCACATACGTCTCACATTTGACACTAACGGCTTTCTTGTCACCGTCATGGTCGACGGCATGACGCGTATCGTCAACCAAGAATTCGTTTACTATGAAGCTGCTATCGGCAACAACCGCGAATTCCGCAACCGCTCATCAGGCGCCTACATTTTCCGTCCCGCCAACGATCAAGTCCGTTCAATTTCACTGCAACCCAAATTGAAAATCTACCGTGGCAATCTGGTCGAGGAAGTTCACCAATCTTTCAACGACTGGGTCAGTCAAGTAGTGCGCGTCTATCGCGAGCAGCCCTATGCCGAGTTAGAATGGCTTGTAGGTCCTATACCAGTGGATGATGGCAACGGCAAGGAGATCATCAGCCGCTTCAATTCAGACATTAATTCCGGCGATATATTCTACACCGATTCTAATGGGCGTGAAATGCTCAAGCGCAAGCGTGACCATCGCGATACTTGGAAGGTGAAATTGTTGGAACGCGTCGCTGGCAACTATTACCCAATCACAACTAAAATCGCGCTGGAAGATGACACTGCGCGCATGGCTATACTGACAGACCGCGCACAAGGCGGCAGCTCGATGGGTGCTGGTTCATTGGAGTTGATGGTGCATCGGCGTTTGTTGCACGATGATGCTTTTGGTGTGGACGAGGCACTTAACGAAACCGCCTACGGTGAGGGCTTGGTGGCGCGTGGCACACACTATTTAATAGTGGGTTCATCGAACAAAAAAGTGAGTCCTACAACGCAGGCAATTGAGCGTACAACGCAATTGCGGAAATTGCTGCCCGCTTGGACTTTCTTCAGCAATGCAGAAAATATAACCTACGAGGATTGGCGTGAGAACTTTACCAATATTGTGAGTTTATCTTTGGTAAATTTTATATGTAGTTATAATACATTGTACGCTATCCACTTGCAGTTCACCGGCTTGCAGTTGGAACTACCCAAAAACATACACCTCATGAGCTTCGAGCCGTGGCATGAGAATGAAGTGCTCGTACGCTTTGAGCACATACTCGAGAAAGATGAAGATCCCGAGCTCTCCAAGTCCGTGCAAATCAACATACAAAGCGTTTTGTCGAGCGTAAAAATCGCTGACATACGCGAAACCACACTGGCGGCCAATGCTTGGCTCGGTGATAATCAACGCATGGAATTTGTGCCAGATAGTCCTGAGGTATCCTACAACGCTTATGGCATTTACCAAAGGTCGATTGATGAACAACTTATGCTGCGCGTTGACAAGCCGCTCTTGGACGCCAAATTCTACAATCAGCTGGAAAGTTGGGAGGAACAAGAGCAATTGGCGTTACAAACGAATCGTTTGAAACGCTTAGTCGACGAATCGCAAGAGCTGAATCGTGTGCGTGCAGAAAAGTTACGTGTGCACAAAGTGGCACGGCAGCCAGTGGCGGAAAAATATGTCGAGGGTGATGATCGCTTCCTTATCGAATTGAGTCCAATGCAAATGCGCACCTACATACTCACGCTGGAGATAGCCAACTAAAGAAGCAACAACAAGTGTAGTTTAAGAAGTCAAGATTTTAAACTTTATCTGCTTAGTTTTAAACCGAAATATCGAACAATAAATATAGAAGCATAATTTTTAGAATGCTGAAATCGACAAAGTACAGCAAGCAAGCCATCTCAATAAATACATACATACAAGGTAAGCAAATAAGATTTCATTAGTAGACGAAATAGCTTGCTTTATTTGTTGCTTTCATCTTACTCGTCTCATTCAACATTGTGTCCTTTGCCTTAGCTTGGCTGAGAGCATTTATCAGCCTAAGCTTCGCTCGGCCGCCCACCACGTTGTTCCGTAATTTTGAATTGCAAAAGCACAACCAAATATGTAGCCATGTAGGTGAGATTCTTGAATAGAAAACAACAACAAAAAATATTTATAAAAACTAATAAACTCACCAAATAACCAATTCTAAACTGTAGTTCTATACCTACCGCCGAAAAAAGTTCCCGATTAATATTTGCATAGTCATCCAAATTCATTATGGGTGGCGTCTTTGCTATGGCCAGCAGAAACATTTGCACCTCTCTCTGTGTAGGCGAATCCAGCACTGTCAAATTAACATTCAGTAGTTTCGTTTGGAAATCCAGCCCCACCTTACGTGAGGCGTAGTGTGCCTCATTGCATATAATATACAATAGACTCATGCAATAGAACATTATGACGAATAGTCCAATCTCCTTATATGTGGCACCGTGATCCATAATTTCACTTATCGAACCATAAGCAGCGGTGAGCGTTGTGAAGAAAATTACCAAACAGTACATGCCATACATGTTGGAGTAGGCACGACCTAGGGATGAGAAATTTGTTTGAAAAAATTACCAATACTAACTAAATAAATGAGACTTTTTATTAATATTTTACTAAATGCTGAAATCTTTCTTTGTGTTAATGATTTCTACACACAGATGAACGCATTTCAGGTGTCATGATGGTCGTAACCACTGTTGCCACAACACTTCGGCTATGCCGAAGGCTTCATACCTTTCATAAACATCTGCAAATTTTACTTTGACCCGATCGTTGTAATTTTCTCTGTAAATATTCTGTTGATAATGGGTGCAAGTACTGCGAAATTTCATGTTCCTAGCTGCATAAATGGAGAAGTTATAACGAAAAACCTCATATCTGAACAATCAGTTGTATGGGAGCTTTATGTTATAGTGGTCCGATTCTTCCTGTTCCGACAAATGATTAATACATTATAAAAATACACCCTCCTACCAAATTTTATCCGGATATCTCGAAAACTGAGAGACTAGATTGCATACAAACAGACGGACAGACGGACATGGCTAAATCAACTCAGCTCGACGTTCTGATCATATAAGTATACATTTTAATGGGTCTATCTCTTTTTATTCTGGTACTTACAAACATCGGACCAAAGTTATAATACCATTTCATGCTCATGAAAAGTATAATTAACAAATTTATTTTAGGTGCAGAATTATACATAACGAAGCTTTTCAGGAAATCTTCGCGAGGATCACAAATTTAAGTGTGGCCGAAGGAACAAATGGGTACTGTCTTAACCCGGCAGAAAAAAATTATCAATTGATAAAAAATAACCTACTTGTAGTTAGCTTTTTTTGCGTGATTTCTATAAAATATATAACTTGTAGTTAGCTACAAAAAGCTGACTTGAAACAAGTGGACAAGTAATGCAGGAGTAAAACTCGAGATTGTTTTCTTTAAACGCGTTTCTATTTAAATATCCTGCACTTCGCAAATACTTTTTCGAATTGAGGACAAATAAAAGGAAGATCGAAGTTTTATATTATTATTTTGAAGTTATGTCTGACGGAGTGGAATATGGGACCACCTGCAGCAGAATATGAAAACAAATATTAAATGTAATAAACTAAATAAAGTAAATAAAAATAATAAAAAAAATATTTTGTTTTTCCTATTGATATTTTATGTCCAAAAGTAGTTAATTACAACTTAGTTACATTGACTAAATCTAATGCAGAGGTAACCACCCTTGACTATTTCGCGGCCATCGCCATAAAAATATAGTAAGCTTTCGTCAAAGAAAATAAACAGATAAAAAGTGACTTTTAGCTCCTTCCTAAGTAACCTAAAGTTAGCTTATAGTTGGATTCATTTCCTGCAGGGAAGGCACAAATGTCATATATGTGAGAATGTATTAGTTATGTTACCCTAAAATGAGAATGTGTTGGTGGTAATGCACGGAGAAAAATGTCTGTGTTGTATTACTTATTATAAAAATGTCTGTATGTTTTTTAGCATTTTTTCATTGGGCGACATTTTTTAAAGCTAAAAAACGTAGAAATATAAAACATAGAAAGAATGTTAACGGCCCTAAGTAAGAAAAAAGTTGGTAAAATTTGTTATGTATTTAAATTTTTTTTTGGATAATTTAAATGTGGATTTTCGGGCAAAAAAGCTAACGTTCCACGAGCACTCTGAATATTAAGAGAAAATTTCGTTAATTTCAAGTAGAAATTAAATAAAAATATATATTTTTTTTTACTTAAGTAAAACTTGAAATTTAAGAACAATTTAAAATTACGATGAAAAGATAAATGACAAAACATATTGTATGTTTTAATTGAGGACTAGACTGGTGTTTAAAAAAAATTACATAGTTCACATAATTACATAATTTATTTATTTTCATGAAATCGTGAATTACAAAAGCTTTGAGAAATTCAACAAAACTTTAAAATTACATTTAAAATAAATAAAAGATTATAGACAATAACAATAAATGTTGTGTGTCTGCATAGCAATTAGACCTAAACAATATATATTTTTTCAAAGAAGATTTGTTGTTATTGTCTATAATCTTTTATTTATTTCAATTTTAATTTTAAATTTTGTTTGAATTTCTCAAAGCTTCTGTAATTCAGGACCTGAAGAAAATAAATAAATAAAAGTTCTACTAATTACATAATTTACTAATTGTACCTACTTTATTCAACAATAAGGCACGGTGCACATTAGTGCGATACGATATGCGATACGATACGCGATACGATATGAAATGCGCACAGTGCACACTAGAGCGATGCGATACGCGATGCGATACGCGATACCATTTTGTGATAGCTACACAAACATGTGTGCCCTTATAAGCTTGTAAATGAGTTGCTTCTCAACCGAGTTTAGACCTTTCGAATGATGGGTTTATGTTGATATCTATAAACTTTTAAAAAATTTAAGAGAAAAGTATGTTTAATATCGAGTAAAACTGATGTTTATTTTTACAAAGTCGGCTAAAAATTAATTGAGATATTCAAATTTTCATGACAAATTATTTCAGAATATTGCATTCACTACAAGGAGAAATCGGTAAAAGCTGAATTAAAAAAAAAGGTAAAGCAACAATTTTTGAGTTATATGGGCAAATCTAAAAAACAGGTAGATAACCTTGGTGTTATTTAGCTTTATTTTCACTGTTGGAAACTATATCAAGCTGGCTGCATTTGAATGTAATTCATTGACGTATACTTGAAGCCTCAAAAATGTCAAATGTGGATCAATTTGCTGCATAACTTTTGAATTATTGCTGTTTAAATTAAAAAAAAATAGTGAAACCAAGTGAATTTTTTATGTAATTTTTAAGAGGGGCAAAATTAATTATGTCATAACTTTTGAAGCACACCATATTCTGACTTCAAATTTAATGGGCATTTAGCACTTATGTGTATAATTTATATGTAGTAAATAAGAAAGAAAAGTATGCATTAAAAAATAACGAAATGGCAAGTAACTCAAAGTCTGTAACTTCACATTTCACAATTTTCTAAATTTTCGGTTCATCGCTTATAGTTTTTGAAGCATTTAATTTTAAGAACTTTTTAAGTATGTATTGTATTCTACAAACAATTGCGAATAATTTGATACCTGAGCAAGAGCTGTGCTTTCAGTATCAACCAACTTTTAAAGATAAAATATTCTGCAATCTTGAGTGTAATTTTTATTCCAAAAATATCTTAATTGAAGGCACATTTGGAAAATAAGTCGAAACGATCTAAACATTTGTATAACTACTAGTCCTTATAATATTACTTATAATATACCTGTAAAATGCTTCAAAAAATGCGTCTCTAGAAATGTGTAAAAACCCTGATTTACTACTTTTAATGATGCTCCTTCTTTTAGTCAGATAGTTGGTCTTACTTAATTGGAGCCTTTTAAATTCAATGGCGTCCCCAGTTTTGTCCGATTGTCTCCACTTTTGGAGATAGCGGTACTTGAAGCTTTGCTTAAATATTTACTATTTTATAAAAAAAAACCTCCCTCAGTTTTGATGATATTTTACTAAATTTTTGCACACGGTTGTATTTTAATATTTCCTTCACTATCTCACTTTAACATATAGCAAGCATACAATTTATTATTCAGTAGTAATCAGTTGTATTGCAGCTATACCTTGAAGTGTACCGATTTCGATAATTTTAAGGAATAATTAAGGTAATATGAAAAAACCGGTATGTGCAAAATTTTAGTAAAATAACTTCAAAACTGAGGGAGTTATTTATAAAATAGTTAAAATTTAATCAAATTTTCAAATACCGTTATCTCGAAAACCGGAGCCAATCTGGTAAAACGGGGGATGCCATTGAATTTTAGAACGTCCCAGTTAAGTGAGTTCAACTTTAAAAATCTTTGCTCAAAATTTACAAGTCGCACAACGTAATTTGAACCCAGCTTATTCTTTTGTTTTCTATTTCATGTTTATTCCGCGTCTAACTTTTGAAGCACTTGATGAAAATTAATTACACTTATATTAATTGATTTATTAAAAGAATACGAGTAAAATGATATATAAAACGTAGGCGTGCTCACAATATAAAAAATTAAATTTTTTTTTTTTGATTTGCCCATATAGCCAAAAGTATTATTATTCTCATGGAAGGTTGAATAACTTAGTCAGATAACTTAGTCACTATATATCAAATGTTAATATTGCATCAATGCAGGCGTAGTATAGTTGCTTTACAAAATAGTGGGTGAAAACTTTGCCAAATTTGAAAAACGACGACAAAATTAACACAGAAAATACACACAGATCTCTTGAGTTTTCCAAAAAGTTTATATCATTCGAAATGTCTAAACTGGGTTTATAGTCAACTGAGTTACAAGCTTATAAGTGCGGAAACCCAGTTTTTTAATAGTAAATCAAGATAGTGTGGGTGTTTGACAAAATTTTCGTATGTCGATTCTTACTTCACTCGGCAAAACCTACCTGAAAAATAACATGACTTACCAGGTATTTTTACTTCATTATTTTTTGTAGCATTGGGTTATAGACTAGTTTTGAATAGCTTTCCCCTGCCGCTGCATGGAGCGCGTTGTTGGTCGAGATCTACACGTCGTACGCGAACATATAATTAATGCGTTTATTTGGAAATTTTGTCCTCGACAACTTTGCCATTTAAATGTGCCACTTATTTCAAATACATAGAAATTGCTCAAAATTCGAAAACACCGCGCCACTTGCATAATTTTGGGCATTTTTTTGCATATTATTAGCAATAAATAATTGTTTAAAAAAATGATAGGCACATGGAAATTGTAGGGAATCGAATTCTCTATAAATTTGTTCTCCACCTTTTTTCGCGAGAAATGCAAAATTCGCGCGCAAATCGTAAAAAACACAAATTCCAAGATGGCGGACATTTCCCATATCGCAATTGGTGGAAAAATTTTATTTTCGTGTTCCCCTAAACAGGAGACCCCAAACTGCGTCAAAAAATTTCTTTCTGGAATTTTTTCGTTGAAAAAATCTAAAGTGATTGGGCTATATGTATGTATGTCAATAAGTGGTCGAAAATATTTCAAAAGAATAACACTTAAATCTTTAGACCAGCGATAGGCAGAGAGAGCTTTTACTCTGCGCGCGCCCATACAAAATGTATAGAAAGCATAAAAGAGCTTTGCCCGCGGGCAAGGCAGTGCCCATCATCGCTTTAGACTCACACATAGAGAAAGTGAATGTCGTAGCTGTTTGAACGAGAACTTACGTAGAATTCTACTCATGTGGCTGCCTGCGTATAACGGGAAATTGGTGTTAATTGCAAATCTGACGAATTGACAAGGGAAGGTATGACCACCCAGAACCTTTCAGAAGAGAACATGGTAGGTATAGCAATAGCTCATTTTTAACAGTTTGTTGTAGATCACCCCATTCTAGTAGCCAATGAACGCTGGAGCAACATTTTGTACTGCGAAACTTCAGGATTACCTGGTCTTTCTATAGCAGGAAATGCTAAAGAAATGTCCTTCCCTATGAATACTTTTACGGGCCAATTCCTAATGAGGACCCAGTATTGACCTATGCGAGGAGAGGATCTACTCTACTGACCAAACAAGTGGGACCGAATCGAAAAATTTGTCAAATTGAAAAACAAAGCAAATTGATAAAGGCATTCGATATCGAACGTAACTCAGATAGAAATTTGAATTTTAGATCATAGCATGCGATAGCGAGTGCGCTTCACTCATTTAAATTGTATTTTGGGGGAAACAGTTGCCATCACTCGATCACGAATGCCGCGATTCGAGCCTAGATTCACTCGTACTCGTTGCTGCCATCGGTTACCGATAATTTCATCGTCCTATATAGCTACTGAAATATTTATAAAATTTGTTGTCGATTTTTATCGATATTTTCGATGTCGTTTTCGGCGGAAATTATATGTATAGGAATGAATTATATGTATGAATTTTTTTCAGTCTAAAATTTTGGGGAAATTCAATTAATATATTAAATTAAATTATGTATACAACAAAATTATTTTTTTTTTAAATTATTTTTAAAATTATCGATGATTTTAAATACAGACGCAGTGAATTATTCAAAGCTAAGAAAAGAAAATTTAGAAATGCAAGCATTTTTGAAACAAAACCCCTAATACTCGTATTGTTTTTTATCCAAAAATTTCAAGTAATTAAAATTTCAAGTTCTTCTACATACAAAAAAAAAAAGATTTCGAAATGATAAAAGCGTGATAATATCTATTTTTGCTACTTGAAGTAAACATATTACACACTTACCCAACTGCTGCATCATAAGACTCAGATCTAACCAGAGATATCGATAATCTGCCAACTTTTCAGCGGGTTTTGCGCTCTTCAGCGTCAATTCCAAGTGTTTAGCAAGATCTTCACTGACAGTGCCAAATGCATTGCAGTTTATATACCTGAAAAAAAAACTTATATAAAAAAATATTTGAATCTATAAAATTTATAAAAACTAAAGATTTTGCCAAAAAATCGGAGGCATGAATCAAAAACCAGCTGAATTCTTTAAAGTTCTTAAAACCCTCTCGGTAATTCTTCTAACCAACTCGCATACAGAAAACGTTCACCCAAAACTTACCATAAGCTGCAAAAGCAGTTTAGCATCGCAATAATCGGATAGTAGGCGAAGGTATACCAAAACTCAAAATCCGGCTGCAACACATATTGCGACAAATTGACGGCAATGCTCAGCGCCCACGAGAATATACACAGTCCCCAAGTGAGCCAATACAAGTTGGGAAAGACAATCGGTGAGCCAGTGACACGCCAGAACTTGTACTGATAATTTGTCCACATATTCTTGAAAATAGCCACCTGCGGTCCATGGCGCCAACTCGCCACCGGCAGCAGAAAATGCGTAAACAACAAGCTGATGAAAATAATATTATAGATGGCCTCATCGAAGTGCTTATCAGGTTGTTCGATGAAATTTTTGACGCGCGCACGCAACACCATCACCACAATGAATGTCTCAACCGAGTAAATGCATATGGCGTACAACACTTGACGCGAGGCCCACGAGTAGCCGGTGCGTGGCAAATTACTGACTGGCGGATTGCGATGGATGGGCATAATACCCATTATTTGAAAGAGTACGAGTAAACTTTTCGTTGTCTTATAGAAGGAATCGTGTTCATCCAGCAGGCGTGCATCATCCATAGTCGATCGCTTGCGTATATAGAAATCGGTGGATTTGCTGCCCACCTGTGCACGCTTCTGCAGTTGGACGCGATGGCGATGCTCATCTTCGAGAAATTCACGCTGCGCGGGATTGAAGAGTGGCACGATGCGTGGTGGTTTTTCCACAATTGTCGAACCGTCGTTATTCTTCACCCAGTAACTCATAGCGAATGAGGTGATAATGAAAATGCTTTCGGCTCGCAAATGCAATGGCAGTGTGAAGAATATCGATTATTGTGGTAAAGGGTTGATAAGCGGTCATTTGCTATGCAATGATGGCGTTTGGAGTTGGGCGGTTTGGAGTGGTTGCTCTAAATATTTATTTTTTTTTTTGTTTTATGCGAGTGTATAAACAAACATTTAATGCACGCGATGACTTCACAATTAAAAATAAAAAGCAGTGTCTAAAAAAGTATGTATGTATATCTGAAATTTTTTGAAGCACAATTTGTAATTGCCATATTCTGTCCTTGCTATCCTTCACTTGCTCCACTGCCCTCCTAATTTCGATATCCTCTTAGATACCAAATCAAACGCAATGTAAAATAGTAAAAGAACTCAATGGCACCCAAGACGCTAAAGCCGAGAAAAAGTCCAGCCGCGCCTCCAACAGCAACTACAAGAAATAAAGGCAAAACAATAATGGTTAAAATGTTCAAGGGTCACGCAATAGTAGCCTCAACTCACCCAATAGATCTGTGAAGGTAAATATTACTTGTCGCTTTAACAACTCCAATGGCCAAGAAGTCACTTCGAGGCCGACACTAAAACCTGTCTGAAATACATTGAGGTTTGCTAAAACCTGAAATCGATTAAAAGTTGGGCTAAAAAATTTATACTTTCAATGGTGAAAAATGTAAATTCAAATTAGGAAACGCATAAATATTTTGCATCGTGAAAATAAACGCCGTAGAAGTAACCGGAATTTATTAAAGATACTCGAGGATATGAAGTGTGTATATAAAATGATAACCGTTTCCGTTGTTCGGACTCAAAAACGACTGAATACATTGCAGTCAAGTTTTCGAAGGTTATACCTTGCTGATATGGTCATATTACAGGCAACTAGAAAACTCGCGGGGTGGCGCTGGTGTCGAATTATGAATAAAATCATATCAACCAATTTCTTTCAAATTCAAAAATCGACCTGCTAGGTTGCGCTGGAGTCGAGTTATTAATAAACTAAACTAAATAGTTTGAAACAACGTATATCTAGTCTGCTTTGGCCCTATATTTATATTATACGAACTTAATTTCGGATGACTAAATGAAGGATGAGGTCAAGTATACATACAACGATTGCAAAATTATAAAAGCACACCTTTGTCTCACACTCTCACACATCCTAATTGCGATCTTGCATCTAGCTCCGCTTGACGGGATTGCTCGGGGCGGGGGGTTATTGCAGCAGTAAGACTCAAGAAAAAGTGGCGAAAGAATACGGTCATTGGCGATGGAGTGGAATAAGGGCCGCCAGAAATAACGCCCATAGGCTTTATTTCCCGAAAAAACAGAAATAAAGCCCATTTGCGTTATTTCCATTTCGAAGGGGACATAGCGCCCGCCAACAAAAGGCAAGGTGAAGTCTGTTCTGCCTTTTCCAAGTTGGATAAGGAAGCCAAGTTAATGGGTCTGGTGGTAAACGAGGGCAAGGCGAAGTATCTCCTGTCATCAAACAAACAGTCAGCACATTCGCGCCTTGGCACCCACGTCACTGTTGACAGTTACAATTTCGAGAAAGTCGAGAATTTCGTTTACTTGGGAACCAGCATTAACACCGATAATAATGTAAGCATTGAAATCCATCGCAGAATCACTCTAGCCAACAAGTGCTACTTTGGACTGAGTAGGCAATTCAGGAGTAAAGTCCTCTCTCGACGTACGAAAACCACACTCTATAACTCAGTCATCATGCGCGTGCTGGTATATGGCGCAGAAGCATGGACAATGACAACATCCGATGAGGCGACTCTTGGAGTATTCGAGAGAAAGATTTTGCGGAAGATTTACTGGCCTTTATGCATTGGCGACGGCGAGTACCGCAGACGATGGAACGATGAGCTGTATGAACTTTACAACGACATGGACATAGTGCGGCGAATTAAAATACAGCGGCTCCGCTGGCTTGGTCATGTCGTTCGAATGGACACCGACGCTCCAGCTCTGACAGTATTCAACTCGGAACTCGCTGGTGGTAGCAGAGGAAGAAGAAGGCCCCCACTGAGATGGAAATACCAGGTGGAGAAGGACTTGGCTTCACGTGGCATTTCCAATTGGCGAAAGATGGCACAGAGAGGAAACGACTGGCGTGCTTTGTTGAACTCGGCCAAAATCGCTTAGGCGGTTATAGCGCCAAATAAGAAGAAGAAGAATAAAAGGCAATAAAGCCTTTAGGAAATGAAGCCCGCGGGCGTTATTGCCATCTCGAAAGGGAAATAATGCCCACCAGCAAAAGGCAGTAAAGCTTGCGGGCTTAATTTCTTTTTTAAAAAGGCAATAAAGCCCGCGGTCTAAATTTATTTCTTTTTTATGAAATAAAGCCCATGGGAGTTATTTAGGCGGGCCTTATTACACTCCACCGTCATGGGCTAGTACTAATTTTATACTAAAAGTGAAAAATTATAAGTTTAATTAGCTTTAAGCTTAAAAGTTTAGAACTTTCCAATAGCCTACCGAATACTCATGGCAATGTGAAGCAAATTGCTTGTAAGACTCGAAATGGTTGCTGTTATCGATGGCAAATATATACATATGTTTACTGTTAAACACACAGTCATTAATATAGGTTATGAATTTATCGAAATTATTATCGATATGCCTATATGTAGATATATTTATCCAAGTACCTATTTATATCTTTTCGATATCATAAAATAATATTATCGAAACACCTGATGATATATTTATCGATAAATTTATCGATTCGCTATCGATACCAATATCGATATATTTATATATATATATATTTATTTTTATACAGTCGGACATAATTGACGATAGTTTTATAAATTATCACTCCTGTTATGGATGCCGATATAACGGGTGATTTTTTTGAGGTTAGGATTTTCATGCATTAGTATTTGACAGATCACGTGGGATTTCAGACATGGTGTCAAAGAGAAAGATGCTCAGTATGCTTTGACATTTCATCATGAATAGACTTACTAACGAGCAACGCTTGCAAATCATTGAATTTTATTACCTAGAAAAGTTGGCAGAAAATCCGCTTTTTTATCGACAAATTTTGTTCAGCGATGAGGCTCATTTCTGGTTGAATGGCTTCGTAAATAAGCAAAATTGCCGCATTTGGAGTGAAGAGCAACCAGAAGCCGTTCAAGAACTGCCCATGCATCCCGAAAAATGCACTGTTTGGTGTGGTTTGTACGCTGGTGGAATCATTGGACCGTATTTTTTCAAAGATGCTGTTGGACGCAACGTTACGGTGAATGGCGATCGCTATCGTTCGATGCTAACAAACTTTTTGTTGCCAAAAATGGAAGAACTGAACTTGGTTGACATGTGGTTTCAACAAGATGGCGCTACATGCCACACAGCTCGCGATTCTATGGCCATTTTGAGGGAAAACTTCGGAGAACAATTCATCTCAAGAAATGGACCGGTAAGTTGGCCACCAAGATCATGCGATTTGACGCCTTTAGACTATTTTTTGTGGGGCTACGTCAAGTCTAAAGTCTACAGAAATAAGCCAGCAACTATTCCAGCTTTGGAAGACAACATTTCCGAAGAAATTCGGGCTATTCCGGCCGAAATGCTCGAAAAAGTTGCCCAAAATTGGACTTTCCGAATGGACCACCTAAGACGCAGCCGCGGTCAACATTTAAATGAAATTATCTTCAAAAAGTAAATGTCATGGACCAATCTAACGTTTCAAATAAAGAACCGATGAGATTTTGCAAATTTTATGCGTTTTTTTTTAAAAAAAAAGGTATCAAGCTCTTAAAAAATCACCCGTTACTTTCCTAGTGTTTAAACCATCCCGATAATTTTCTACCTCCTACAGGAATCGCAATGTGGCATACCGAATGTTTTAGTCAATGATCCATTGCCCTGACTCTGAATTACGAAGAACAATCACTTTTCTATCCCTAAAAGCATATTCACATTATCGTAATTTACAGCTCATTTGTAATTTATAAGCAAATCACGCTGAAATGAAGTAATTTCGCCTTGTATAAATAATTTATCATAAATCAAGAACCAAATGAGGAAAAAAAAGATTTTGCATTTGTTTTAGCCTCCACTGTTAGGGAAATTTGAAAAAAATGCCTAAAGCTATGCAACCGTTTGTTTTTTAAAATCAAGTATAAACCACAAACTCGTACGTATGTACACGTGCTATAGAAATTATGAAAGAAAATGTGAACTTACTTGTTTTATGTGAAGTAATTTGATCGAAACAAAGTAATTTATGCTGTAATGTGAATCTAGTTTAAAAGATTGTTTTTTAAATTTGGTTCACTGTCGCAAAAAGAAAAAAAAAATGAATACAGGAACCAGTTGGTCGTTTCTGTAACTCTTCTCTACTGGTTATTTCTCTACTGGTAGAGAATATACGACATTATCTACTATTCATCATCAGTAGAGAACAAGGCCTGAATTCACCTTGGTAGAGAATTGTTACATACATATATAGGGATGAAACGATACGAGAAAATACTTACAAGTATATACTCGATACTTTTCGCTCGATACCAAGTAATTTTGGTATCGGTACTTTTGAACCAAGTACTGAGTAAGTATCAAAACAAAAATACTCGTATAGAAATCCGATAGCAAGGTGAATTTTATTTCCGAATTATTTCCTCTCAAGGCATTTCCTCCACTAATATGAATCGCCCAGTTCTTTATTGCTGTTTGAACTCCAGCGACCTTCAAATATAGAAGATGTTAATTTCTCGTTGAAACCAGCATGCAATGAACTTTTTTAACAGATATTTTTGCTGTTCTTTCGTCAGGGAATCCATTTCCATGGTCGCAAAAACAAAAAAATCTATTTAATTTTTTTTTTTTTCAAAAGAATTAAAATCCACAAATTTTTTTTGAAAGTCGGGCTTGAGGTTGAGGTAATTTTTCACCAGACCTTTAAAATGACTTTTCAAAAGAAAATTTTTAATTTTTTTTGTTTTTTTAACCTCAAAACAGCTTGTAATAAACAAATAATAAATAAATAAAACAATTTAAAATTAACTGATTTCTAGATTCTTGCCAAAAATAAAATGGATTCTTTGATGTACGAACAGCAAAAATACGGATTTCAAGTTTTTTAAAAACTTCATTGCATACTGGTTTCAGGCCAAAAAAAAGAACCATTTAAATCACCTATTTTTGAAAGTCATTTTAATTAATCTATCAAACGAGACAATTTTGCCTGCATGGGGAATGCATCTCAAAAGGTTTAAAACCCCGTTACATTGATTTCGCTATCTCTTCTCGTTGGAGTTTTTCCCTTTTTTTCAAAAATAGAACACTGAGCGGCGTATGCACGGCCCAACGTACAGAATAACTCTATTATTCCTCGCCTTTACTTGGAGTAGTATCATAAGAAAGTATCGATACCCGAAAAATATCGGATCTAAAGTATCGATACCTACTCGTATCACTCGTATTACATTTATTTTTTTAGTAATAAATTAATCATCCTCGGCGAATCTTAAACTCCGATTAATAAAAGTTAATAATTTAGGAATTGAAAATAAATAAAACAACATAACATAGCAAAACTAACTATATGTTTAATGATGAATGGTATTTAACAGAGAAGATACCTTGGAAAAGTTAGCAAGAAGTTAATCTCGTTTAACCTTAGAACCATGAGTGGGGTACTCAAACCCCATATACATTTTTGATGTTGAATATCGGGGGTTTGGGAAGTCCAATTTGATTCTTTTCGTAGGCAGAAGATTGTACCTTGGTTTATAAGTTGACAAAATTCTAGGTAAAATAATAATGATAATAGATTGGCGCTTACACATATGTTAGTGTTTGGCCGAGCTTCTCCTCAGATTTGTGGTGTGCGCCTTGATGTTGTCACACAAAGAAGAGGGACCTACAGTTTTACACGGACTCCGAACGGCGATCGTATTTTTATGAGAAGCTGTTTTTCATGGCAGAAATACACTCGGAGGTTTGCCATTGTCTGCCGAGGGGTGACCGCTGTTAAGATAAAACCTTTTTCTAAATTTTTTTGCGATGTTGGTTTGACCAGGGCCTGAACCCAGGCGCTGCGGAGTGGAAGCGCGCACTGCTTACCACTAGACACAGCGGCCGCGGAATTCTAGGTATATATCTCTTATAATAAGAAAGTACCGGATTTTATATGGTATGTTCATATAAAGCTTAAATTTCCATACGGAATTTTCGGGCTGGGCTACGTTGAACATTTTAGTTTTTTCTAAGAAAACTATTTTTTTTTTTGGTCATCCACGCTTTGCACCCTACTATTTTATCAATTGCTTCTTTTTTTCAATAACAGAGCTAGTCTCCTTTAATATTATCCGATAATGTTTTCAGCGCGAAGAATAATAGAGTTATTCTGTACGTTGGGCCGTGTATACCTGTATGGTATCGTTTCATCCCTTTACATATACCAAGATGAAATAAGATCAAATGTAAATGTAAAATTTGATTAGCGATCAAAGTTACTTCCGGGCAAAAAAAAAACCACTTTTTCTTATGGGAACGGTTCTATGACATAACTGATGCCATCAACCGGAATATGTACATATTTTCTAGGTTCACTTTCAAACAACACCAATTAATTCCTCTTTCAACTTACCTCCACATTATTTACAACAACAATGCTATTAAAACAAGAATCCAGGCAATTACAGCTTACGGTTTTACGAGCCTTTGAGCTGTGTAAACGACGAAAGAACTCTGAAAAGCGAACATTAAGGAAAATGTTAAATATAGAGGCTAAAAAATATTAGGAGCGAAAACGCTCGCCGTGTTTTATGAAAGAATTATATAGACTAAAGAAATCAATGAGAGGATTATATAATTTTTTGCCAGCTTCAGAACATTCTTGAAGTCTAGAAAATTATTAGACAAAAGATGATAAACTGAACTTACACAACCTAAAAGATATTTAATTTTACTTAGTACCTACCTGCATTTTTAGCCACACAAGATTTCAGCGTCGTATAAGAGCATATGGGCTTTGGATTTGGTACTAAAGTTAGGGGTCATAAAAAATTTAATTATTTGATATCTAAGATCTGCAGTATCTGTATTTTGGGTAAAATTTAAACCCACCTCTGTTCGGGTAGAAATGCGGTATGCATTTACATTTTTTATAAACCAAATTGAGGCGGCATTCTTGCATGCAAAAACTTTTGGTATAAATTTCAAAATGTTCCAAATTCGATTCGTGTGGGAAACGACATTTTCGCTGAGCTACTGTAGTTAATCTAGGAGAAATCAAAGGAAAAATATAAGGAATTTTTATAATACACACGTTTGGGTTTCAAACTTTGGCAATTTTGATAGAATTTTTTTACCCAAGCGCACTTGGGCACAAGAGTATTATAACCTGATTCAAATAACGGTTGTTTGTAACAGTCTTAAGGAATCGGGATAGATGTACACATTTTTATTTATACAAACTTCTCAAAACCCTCTTCGGCTACGATTTCTCGTGCCTCAGCTTTATAATAAACCGCCTCGTTGGTGTAGAAAAACTTTTGTTCAATCTTCAAGGCGTCGTGAGCTGAGTGTATGAAAACCTAAAAAAAAAAAGTACAGGTAAATGCCTACAATTAAAAAATTTTTAAATATAAAATATCACAAAAAATTCATATGAAATTAAAATAATTACTTTAAATAAAAAAATTTACTTGGAAACAGGGATCGAAAATAATAGTTATTTTCAAATTTTCAATTCAAAAACATTTGCATATAGGAATTTGATGCTTGGAATGTTAATTCTACATGATTTAACTTTTTTCAAAAAAGTCAGCAATTAACCGTTATTTCTTGACAGATATGTTTTCAGTCAAAAGTAAAAGTTAAAACTTGACTTTTATTTTTTCGTTCAAATATAAAAGTTAAAATTTTACTTTTATTTTTTCGGTCAAAAATAAAAATTAGAAATTGATTTTTATTTTTGCGGTCAAGTTTTGACTATTATTTTGACTGAAAAAATAAAAGTCAAATTTTAACTTTTATTTTTGACAGAAAAAATAAAAGTCATACATATTTTAACTTTTATATTTGACCGCAAAAATAGGAGTCAAGTGTTAACTTTTGTTTTTGACCGAAAAAATAAAAGTCATATCTTAACTTTTATTTTTGACTGAAAATATTAAAGTCAATTTGTAATTTTTATTTTTGACTGAAAACATATCGGTGAAAAAATAACGATTATTTTTTGACTTTTTTGAAAAAAAAAAACCATAACCGTTCCGGTCGTTAGAAACAATCTTTAAATCATTAAAAAAATGGTTTAAATACAAATTTTTTGTGATTTCCCACACCTTTATACCACTCGAAACTCACCCCAATACTTTCGAATGCCTTCGGCACTGACAAAATCAACAGCACGCTATCAAAATAGCTACCTGTCAGCATTTGTAGGTGTTCCTTATTGATTTTCGGATATTTTCCAAATATAGTGTAGCGTGCCGTATATTCATTATGCAAGTAGCTATTACCCAAGTAGCAAATACCGAACTCGGTGAGCACTTGACGCACCACAAAACTCCTAAAGCCATCATTCAATCTGATGCGCTCATTTTCATCGGCCATTTGTGTAAAGTCGGTGGTGAGATTATAGATCAACGACATGTACTGTGCGGGTCTCAAACGTAGCCGATCCAAGGTGCTATCGATGCTCGGACGCACAGTAATATTAGCGAAGTTGAAATAGGTCGAATTTGCCAAGGTTTCAAGAAAGATTTGTAGATCCTCTTTCGGTTGGCCGGTGATTTTCTTTTTGCTTGAGCGTAGAGGATTCAAAACAATATTTTTTTATTTTGCCATAATTCAACTCAAATAAGTGCGAGGATATACTCACTGGCAATACTTGTCGAAGAGTTCCTGACTCAAGCGGCGCATGGGACACACCGTAAAGCTGGGCACAGGCGTACGCCAGAAGTAAAAGTCGCGTTCAAGTCCCATAACGGTGCTCTTAGTTTTCCATTTATCCATGGCTTGGAGTCCGGTGTAGATGCACATGCCCACAGATACAATGAGCAGCAGTAGCCAAAAGAAGCTATTTTTTTTTATTTATTTTTTTATTTAAATACTTTTTAAAATTATAGTAAACTGAATTGGCTTACTTACTGCTCAATTAAAGTTAGGCTCTCTTTGACCAAATACACAAATCCATGTATGCAACTTTCTGTAAAATAATTTTTAATATATAACCCAATGCCCTTCAGCCAACGGAAATGTCCACAAAAAGTTTGCCATTTTGATTTTGGTGGCTGTGTTTGCATTTTTGGCTGTACTTGTATGTACATTTTGAAAATTAATTAAAGTAAGGACTATAGCAGTTCACCTCAGTACTGGTACTGTTATTTAGTTGACTACTATTTTTTTTAATTCTTTGTCCGAGGCTTACGTGATTTATTAAATATTCACTGCTTACAAGTCAAATCCATTTAGATAGCTGTTTAGAGCACGCATATGTACAGGGGCGGACCCAGCAGCAATTCTTGGGTGGGTGGGGAATTTTTCCACATATATCGTGTATATAAATTTAAAAATCACCGCAATTTAAAATTTTTAGAGTTTTGATAGTTTTGAATTTCTTGAAGTTTCCCATTTTAAATAACTTGAGTGGAATTCCAAAATTTTCTAAACTTTCAAAACTTTGTGAATGTAAGAAATTTTAGGAAATCACAATAATTCAATATAATGATGAATACTAGATTTCGAGAAATTTTTTATTTTTCGAAAATTTTGAGAATTGTAGGAATTCTAACAAATTTTTTCTAAGTAAAAGTGTCGAATATACAAAATTGATCAAACGAAATTAAAAGTTTTCGAATGTTGAAAATATTTTCATATTTCGTCGTTTTTGAAAGTTTAAAAAATTTTCGGCATTCTTGAAGATTCAAAAAATTTTTGGACGTTGATGTTTTCAAAATTTTCAAAAAATTTAAACTTATCAAACTTTGTTATATCAATAGAAAATTTTGGAAAAGTTCCGAAAAGTGGAAAAATTTTGGAATTTTTCAAAAATGTTAATATCTTTTAGAATTCTAGGAATTTTCTATTTTTTACACACAAGTACCATGAACATAAGAATTTTTCGATAATTTGTGATGTTCCACATTTTTACATTTTAGGATAAATAAAATTCTCAAAATTTTGGAAAATATAACAATTCTAAAATCTCAATAATTTTGTACATTCCAAAATATTCTCATTCTACTAAAATTTCTAGAATCTCCCGTATTTAGATAGTTTTTGAAATTTTGGAAATTATCCTAAAAATGAGAAATCTCAAGAAATTTAATAATATTAATTTTCGTTGTTTTCTGAACCTGTGTAAATATTCTAACTTGCTGTGACTTTCAACTGTGTAAAATAATACAAATTCGAAAATATAACAAAAAAAGTAAAAATTGAAAATTAAGTACATAATTTCAAAATTTTGAAAATTCAGTGAATTCGAAAAACTGATAGGCCTACTTAAATAACATAATACTTCGAGCTTAGCACACAGCCAAAAATTGAAACTCAAGTGAAATTTGACACACTTTTTTCATGAATTTAAATTTTCAAAAGCATCCATTCATTAGGTTTGTTCCAAGCTTCTCGAAGTCACTTCGAGTTACATATACGCGCTCCGCAAGTGAGTTTTCGAGTTTCTTTCCCCAATTTGCCCTACCTGGGTCCTCCACTGATATGTATGTATGCATGTACGAGCTCTGAATAGCTCATTATGAGCAGACCCATAATGAAATGCACTTTTGAAAATTAAAATTAAAAAGTATTTTATTTAAACGTTTGGCAAAATTGTATGTACTAAGTACAAAATTATTAAGATATTTAGGTTGTAGTAAACAGCAAAGTAATATTTAGTGAAGTATTTTGAATATTACTAAATACCAAGTATTATAGTATTGGCATATTTTCACAGCACAAAGTACAAGTATAAAAGTGTTTAGAGACTTTGGCCTTACTAAATACTGGCTGTATTACAGAACTTTCAAGAATCTCGGGATTCTCGTAACGCGTGAACTCGTGATTTTGGAGGCGTCTTCGGTCCTTTAGGGACTAATTCAAGGTTTCCAAGATTATTTCGAAATTTTCGATATTATCTGCACTATTTCGTATTTTTCGCATATGTTAACGGCTAAACCCGATCTTAAGACAAACTAGTTTTTCCTGGGCTAAACTAGTTCTACCTAGATCCAATATATCCGTCCAATGCGGAAACAAGTTGGACTGCATACCTGGAGTAGGACTGATGATGATGAGGGTTAGTTTTTTGAAGTGCTGAAAGGTGTTCTGCGCAAAAATCTGTGATCTGGTTTAGCCTAGGCAAAACTAGTTTGTCCTAAGACCGGGTTTGGCCAGTAACATATATAACCGATATCGATTTAAAATCGTTCGATTTAAATAACATGCCTGATATCGGGGTTTTCGGTACTACCTCAAATTTTACGGGACTACATACTTCTAGATTTTCGAGATTTTCAGAAATAAATCGCTGAGCAGAGATGAGGCAAGCTGGGGTTGGATTCAGTAACTGTGAGAAAATACAGTGTACACAGTAGAGGTTTACGCCGACAGGCTTTGCGGCGGCGGCGTGGTTAACTTTAAAAAGAATCGGCGGCGGCGGCGACGTCGGCGCGTCAGGAAACGCCGGCGCTCCTACCCATAAGGCAGAATCCAAAGCGCCATGAGGCTACTAATCTTATCATGTCATCTCGTCAGCGTTACGTATTCGCTATGCCAAATCAGACTGTAATTGTATTTAATTCATTTATTGAAGTAGTTTTAAATTTAAATTACGTTACTTTCTACTTGAATTAAAATGTTGAGTGTCTGCCGCTGATGTAACAGAAGGAAGTCTGAAGCAAATACATACATACATTTCTATGTTCTTTATAAATCCGTATGTACTATTTAAATTTAAAGAAATAAAAAAAAATTAAAAAGTTAAGTTATTGGGGTAGTTTATGTCGCTATCAATAAATTCTTGCAATAATCTTATCAACCGTTATGTTAAACTACGGAGTTGTTACGATTTTTTGTGAGTTTTATATTGAAAACAGGTTTTGGTCTACTTTTTTTCCAAAATTTTAACCCACCAACGCCAAAAAAAGGCTTATAGATGGTTAAAATTTCCACTAAAATATTAAGCGCCAAATTTTTCTAAGGAGAACCGGATGTAAAGAAAAATAATAGTAATTTTAGCAAAACGGGGGACTTTAATCCTGTGTAGAAGACATTGCGATGCGAGGGAGCAAAACCTTCCTGGGATTTGAACACCACTTAGGAATGCTAACGTAATTGTCACACAGCCACCTAGTACTTGTATTCGTCTGCGGGACCCCAGAATAAAGTAACTTACTAACGTAAAAATTAGCAAAAAAAAGTGTTTGCTTTTTAATAAAAGTGTGTTTAAAACAGGGTACGAAAATAAACTGTACAAAACAATTCCCATTTGCTCATCTATCATCATATCATTTGTGGTTTTGTACAGTTTTGTAAATAGTCAGAAACAAATTGTAAGATTCACTGTCATTTTCCCCAACGAGAAACGTTTGCTTTTCGTTTGTGACAATTGTACCATAGGGTACGTTTTATATGTATGCAAACGTTTCAATTACGTGAAAAATAATTTTTTCTGTAAATTTTCATATCCAATTCAATTAAAAAACATTTTTATTTATTTTTATTCATTACAGCCATTCGTTTTGTATTTGTTTATTGCATATATGTGCATACATAAATATATTTTCCCTGCACGATTCATTTCGTTTGTTGTTTCGTCTGTAACTACTAAACTACTGTAGTGTACTATCGCCAAAGTGAACTCAGCCGTTTTGTTTCGTATTGTACCGAACTGTTAAAGTAATAAATGAAACGAAATAGTAACGTACAATATAGTTTATTTTCGTACACTGGTTTAATATATTAAAAAAATACACAGGAAAATCAACTTGTCTTGTTTTTATCGCCAATAATTGAGGAGTTAGATGCAATAAGGCCACTGTGGTGTGTGCGCGCTTCCACTCAGCAACGCCTGGGTTCAAGCCCTGGTCAAAGCAGCATCGCAAAAAATATAGAAAAAGGTTTTTTCTTAACAACGGTCGTCCCTCGGCAGGCAAAGGCACACCTCCGAGTGTATTTCTGCCATGAAAAACAGCTTCTCATAAAAATACAATCGCCGTTCGGAGTCGGCGTAAAACTGTAGGTCCCTCCGCTTTGTGTCACAACATCAGGGCGCATGCCACAAATCGGAGGAGAAGCTCAGCCAAACACTAACATATGTGTAAGCGCCAATCTATTATTATTATTATTAGATGCAATAAGGGCGCTTCTGTTAAAACTGATTTCTGAGATATTGGCGTTAAAGTTTTTCATGTGTTGTAACTTTCTCGTTGTTATAGTATATAAAAAATTAGTATTGAAAAAATTTTTCTACTGCGGAAAAAAAATCATCAGATTACCAGTATTCGACCCTAATTTAACTGTTATAAACGCTTTCGATCGAAAAACGTGTTACCTATGTTTTCTCTGAGTTACGCTTTTTTGGAAATGTTCAATGCCCCGAATTATACAAAAACAAGTAAAAGCAGCGCTGTCTTCGGCTATGCCGAAGCCTTCATACCTGTCATGAACATCTGCAAATTTTACTTTGACAGGTTACTGCTTTTGAATACATCTGCATACATCGATAGAGGAGTTACATACTTATATAAAAAATCGCATCTAAACAATGAATGAATGGAAGATATACTTTATATGACACCAATCTAATACTAAGTTCACATATAAGTAGATTATCCTCATTTTCGAGCTTGACTTCCTAATCTGTAATTAGAAAAAGAGATTAGCCATATAAAATTCCCCCCTTGTTAATCTGTAATTATAAAATAATCTCAGATTTAACCGATAACTTTTCGGTGTCCATCCTAGTTTTATCGATTGTTTTTGCGAAGAAGAGGAGAAATGGCAAATGTAAAAGTAAACAGAAATGGACACTAGCAAGGAAAAGAAGGTTTTAAAGGTATTTTTTAATAAAATGTTAAGTTAAAATATATTTATATTGCTTAATATAGCAGAAAAACGTGATCACGGTGGCACAGAGAAGAAACATAACTTTTCCTGGAGATGTGAAAATAACAAGCACAACAAATTTGACGGCTAATAATCTGAGATTTGCTTGTGTAAACGGGGTGATTAAAAAACGAGCTTTGATTGAGATAATATAGATATGTGAACATAGTTTAAGTGATTTTCACCGCTATGTGATCGGTATGTAAACCGGTAGCACAATTTATTGCGTTTAGTTTCGTACATAAAGGAGATATATGGCAAAAACTGGTATCTTAACAATCAGTGCTATAGGAGATAAAGCTTATACAGTATAGATTTTGACGATTTTCTCAGTAGACTTTGTATTATTATTTGTAAAATATCTTACGAAATTTATCGGTTTTAGCTGTTCAAATAAAGGAGTTTTACAGTAAAATCCCATATCTGAACAATCAGATGTATGGAAGATATATGTTGTAGTCATCCGATCCTTGTTATTTTCACTGCAAGTATTCTGTTAATAATGAGTGAAAATGGTGCGAAATTTCATGTTCCTAGCTGAATAAATGGAGGAGTTATGATAAAAGACCTCATATCTGAACAATCAGTTGTATGGGGGCTGCAGGTTGTAGTGACCCGATCTTTGTTATTTTCGCTGTAAGTCTTCTGTTGATAATGAGTGAAAACAGCGCGAAATTTCATGGTCCTAGCTACATAAATGGATGAATTATAACGAAAAATCTCATATCTGAACAATCAGTTGTATGGGAGCTATAGGTTATAGTTACCCGATCTTTTTAATTTTCACTGTAAGTTTTCTGTTGATAATTATTGAAAACAGTGCGGAATTTCATGTTCCTAGCTATATAAATGGAGGAGTTATAACGCAAAATTTTATATCTGAACAATAAGTTGTATGGGAGCTATAGGTTACAGTGACCCGATCTTTGTAATTTTCACTGTAAGTATTCTGTTAATAATGGGTGCAAGTATTGGAAAATTTCATGTTCGTAGCTGCATAAATGGAGAAGTTATAATGAAAAATCTCATATCTGAACAATCAGTTGTATGGGAGCTATATGTTATAGTGGTCCGATTCTTCCGGTTCCGACAAATGATTAATACATTATAAAAATACACCCACCTACTAAATTTGATCCGGATATATCGAAAACTGAGAGACTAGATTGCATACAAACAGACAGACAGACGGACAGACGGACATTGCTAAATCAACTCAGCTCGACGTTCTGATCGTATAAGTATACATTTTCATGGGTCTATCTTTTTTTGTTCTGGTACTTACAAACATCGGACCAAAGTTATAATACCATTTCATGCTCATGAAAGGTATAAAAACTCCTTTAAAAAGGTAAATTTCATTTCGTAAAATAGTGTTTTATACGAGTAGTATTTAGTTCCTTTAAACGATATATTTCAATGTGCATACATCATGAAAATTTTGTACAAAATTCCTTAGGCGCCGAACGCCGCCGCCGCGCCGATATTTTCATAACTCGGCGGCGGTGCGTGAGAAATGACAAAAAACGGCGGCGGCGGCGGCGTGGCTCGGCGGCGTATACCTCTAGTACACAGAGTGCAAAACTCACAACCAAAAACTCACCAAATAGAGGTGTACACTATTTTGACAGGTAAAACTCATTCTCACACTTGCTGAACCACAAACTGAGGAAGTGTACACAATTTTGACAGTTAAAATTCACTCTCTCACTTCTTGGATCGCAAAATGAAGAGTGTACACAACTTTCAGTTTACATTTGAAAACTTACAGTTACAGAATCCAGCCACTGATGTGAACTGAGTTGAGGTGAGTATAAGTTAGGTGAAGTGAGGTGAGTTGAGGTATGTGGAAGGTAAGGTGTTAATTGCTTTAGTTTCTTCGGTACTAACTCAGGATTTGTGGGACTTCTTACAATTTTTGGGACTGGTTTGGGATCTCAAAAAATAAAGTTTGGTTTCTGATTTGCATCGCTGAGCAGAGATGAAGTGAGCTGATGTAGGTTGAAGTGAATTGACTTAAGATGAGGTGAGTTCAGGTATGTGTAAGGTAAGGTGTTTATTGCTTTAGTAGTCTCTAATGACGAATACATTTTCTTTTCAAATTACAAATACATTTTTATTCACCATTCCAGTAATTTCGAATGACGAATAATTTTTCATTCATCATCATGAATAAATTTCAATGTACTATACAGCCATTCTTGACCATCGTACCAGGTAGACGATGAAGGTAAATGTTCATATCATATGTGTATAGTAAGCATGTATAATAAATATGCATGTGTATAAATATGTACAACACAAACATGTACCTTCATCGTCTGCCTGGTACGGTGAGCAAGAAGGAATGAATTATAAATGAAAAAGGTAAGAGCTGCGATAATAGCAAAGAAAATTATAAATGGCTATCACTTGTATGTGTTTATGTAGGAACTGCAAT